ATTGGGATATTTTGTTTGTGAACTTTGTTTAGTGCAATTTTTGAAATGATGCTGCAGTTGAGTGGCACTCTCTCTATTTCTCTAATGAAATGATTGTGACCTTATCTGACCTGACTGTACCTTACATGGATTCCCAAATTGATTTTCTTTTCTCTCATGGATAGATTGTTTTTTGGAGCAAACAAAGTCATGCAGGTTTCTCTTGGTCGAACTGCTTCCGATGAGATTCAACCAGGCCTATACAAGGTTTCTAAGGTGAACCACTTTTTCCATATTGCATATAATTCAAGTGCTCTTTTTCTTTGTAGCCTTAAGGAATTAACATCCACTCTTCTATTTTTCAGCTTCTGCATGGCAATACTGGACTTTGTTTCACAAACTTACCGAAAGAAGAGGTTGAGAGGTAAACCAGACATGCTCTAGTTTTAACATTGGCAAGCACCGCCAATAGTGATAAATTGTTAGGTTGCTATTTTGTTTTACAATTTAAATGCACATATTTAAAATTTATTCACTATGCGTTCTTTTTTTTGTTTAGAAATTGAAGTATCTGATAAATTGTAGTTTCAGTTGATTTCCATATCTATGAATACAACATTCTGAAGTTTTGATTTGGGAAAGACTGTTAAAAGTGAAACAAATTGTTTTGGTGTTGGAAAGGAACCAAAAAGAAAATGTCAAATCCTTGAAGTTGAAGTTTTAAAAATTGAAACTGGTTTGTCTTCAAGGTCAAAATAAATTTTCAACTTCATAATGTCACATGCTGATTTTTCTGTGCTAAACTCGGTTGGAAGTCCTGTTTTTGTCAGTAGTAAAATTCTCTAAATGGGTTATTTACATTTCAATTTTAAAATAAGGGATTTCTGTATTTGATTTGGTATGCATTAATGCTTGATTTAATTTTCAATGTTTTGTTCTGCAGATTATTTAACGAGTATGTGGATTATGATTATGCAAGGACTGGAAGTGAAGCCACAGAAAAGGTTTCTGCCCCTTTTGAAATAAACTTATTTTTATTTTCATCATTCTAGTACTGATGTCACTTTTTGAGTGCACTGATTCAACAAAAAGGTCCAGTATCATTTCATATCGTTAGTGTTATAACATGCATGAACTTTGTGGTTGGTCGCCTTACTGAAGTTTAATGATATTAGGTTGAGCTTAAGGAAGGTCCTCTGGAGCAGTTCAGCCATGAAATGGAGCCTTCTCTACGGAAGCTAGGATTGCCCGTTCGCTTGAACAAGGGTCGGTAAACACACTTTTTGCTTGCAAGCCCTACTTATGATAAACAAAAATTTGGTTGTAAATCATAATTGTTGAGGGAATTGCAGGTGTGGTGGAGCTTGTATCGGACTTTACTGTATGTGAGGAGGGCAAGTCTCTTTCACCAGAGTCAGCTGGCATCCTGGTTTGTATCATTTCACGACTATCTCTTTCTTTCTTTATATATATATTGAATATGAATGCCTTGTAAACGAGGTTTGAAGTAGCACTTATTGATATTGATATCGATATTTGTTTGGTTGCAGCGTGCCTTGGGGATAAGGATGGCAACTTTTCGCCTGAATTTGGTATGCAGGTGGAGTCCTGGTGAGTTTGAACTTTACATTGATGGACCAGATTATTCTGACATTGAAACTGCCTAGAAGAAGAATCCCCAACACAATATTTTCCGATTAGAATTATATATATATATATATATATATAAATGGGATGGATGGATAAATGAATGCATGGATGAATGACTCTCCCCTAGGGATTTGATGCTATAATTTGAATGGGATCGGGACTTCTCTTTTCTTCTTCTTTTGTGTAAATTATTCAAGAAATTTTGAAGGGCATGTGCCCAAATCTTCAGTTTTGTTTCTCTAGTGAGGATGAACGGATGTTACTGTGACTGGTTGGTAGATTTTGATTTGTATTATTGTCAGATCGTTGGTCTTTAAATTCTTCAAATATAGTATAGTATTATTTTATGAAATTCTGTGTGTTATAAATAAGCTTAATGTAATGAGACCGAAGAATAGATAGCGCCAGGATCCATTAGAACTGGATCTTCCTTTCTGAATTAATAATAATCTATCGTGTACCGATCTTCATCACCAAAAATCTCTTCACCGTTGGGCTTTGATCTCAGTGGTTCAGATTTAGTTCCATTTTAGTGCTAATGGTTTCTGTTAGGAATCATGGATAAATATTGCTCTAACTGGCTTTGTACTCTGTAAGTCTTTGTACTCATGGAGATACTGTTTCTCACTTATAAACTCATAATCTTTATTAAATTAATAAAGGACTCGCTCGCAATAATCTTTAGCAGATTCTAAATTTTCGATTTAGTTGGTATGGTTTCAAATTTCATAAAATTCATTTTTTGTTATCATATTGATAAAAAAAAAAAAAGCAACATATTTCTATGTTGGTAACCATGTTTATTGACTTATATTATGGGTTAAACACAATTAAAGATGATTTTTGTGACTAACCAAACTTTAGTTAACTCGGCCATAAGAGTCCAATGAAAACTTCTAAAACTATAGATGTAATGATTCATGTTCAAGATTGGGATTTAAAATTTGATATTTGATGGTCTTACCATTTCTTTGCAATATAATTATGTTTACTTGCCTTCTCTATTCCCATGACCAATCTGAGTCTTTCGTCATCATTCACATGTATTTTAATTTTTTTTTATAAAATATGCTCAACTATAGAGTTTCTATAATTAAGTCACTAGAAAAAAAAAAATGCATCCTATTGGTATAGGTAGTAACTTTTAATTCTTTTAAGCATTCTTAGTCATTCTATCTTCAAGGATCTATACTTCGAATGTGATTTTGATTCATTCATGTACCCTTCCCTTTTACTTGAGTTACCAAATACTACCTTATTCATGTCAAATCATGATTTATCATGCATTAGCATAATTGAATGATAATTAATATGTACCAATGAATAAGAAGTCAAATATTCAAATTCTCAACTAGAGATGTCCATTAGGTGGGTAAGCCTTCTCCGTCCCCGTCCCCATCCCCACCATCTACTTCATTTTTTTTTTTTTTTTATTTCCATGAAATTCCTATTTATTATTGTAAAGATCAAGGCAAAGGTTCCCCATATGAAATTTGTAGGGATCAAGTTCAAGTCGATAAGCTTTTTATAGTTTATTGTTCTTTTTAAAAAAGAAGTTATCATTTTTCAATATAATTTTTATTATAAAATTGTTAAAAAAAACCTTAATAAACAGACATATATAATGTCTATCTAACATCATTTTTTAAAATAAAAAATATATTCATGTGGAAGAGAGTATATATATGCATTTATGTTAAAAATATATTTATATTAAACAAGAATGGAGGGAGGAATATAGTCCCTTCTGTGAATGTTTGATTAATCCACCACACCTAAATGGTGTGAAAGTTATCTTATTTATAATCAAATGAATTACAAGGATATGGAAATAGTAATAAATGGAAATAACAATAAATGGAAAGATACCTATGATAATAAAGCAAATATTAGATATTTGCCTTATAATAAAATATCAAATATAATATATATGGTAAACTATAATTTATTACTATATATCCTTAACACCCCACCGCAAGCTAAGCGTCGGATTAAACGAACGTGAAGCTTGAATCTAAAAATTCAAAGAGGTTGAGAAACACTTTTCATGAAGATGCTAACAACCCGGTTCTTGGCCATCAAAAATTTGCANAGGGATCGCCGCTCAGCGGCGATGATGCCTTGGCTTCGGCGAGAATATGTCTAACCCATGAAGAAGGATTGTCGCTTAGCGACGATGCTGCCTTGGCTCTGGTGAGAATATTTATAACCCCAAGAAGTAGAAGGGGAAACCTAGAGCAAGGGACAAAGACAATGTTGAAGCCGGAAGAGTCGCCACATTGGGCGAAGGAGCCAATTTTGGCGAGAAGGGCAGTCGGAAGAGTCGCCTCATCGGGTGAAGAAGCCAATTTTGGCAGGAATGGCGGCGGCAACTTGGTTGGCGAATAGGCCAGTGCGGCATCCAGATTCCGAAGGTAAATCTCTGCAAAAGGTTGATAGGTTTAGGTTAGGGTTTATGTAAAGGATGAAAGTTGATTGGGAAGAAAATGAGAGAGACTATATTGGCCAAGGGGAAAACCGATTGGGTTGGAAAAGGTGAGGTTGTATGTACAGAGTATGACGAAAGGTGATTTGGAGGTCAATAGGGTGGAACCGAAGAGTAATCAATCGGCTCCGACTACGGCAGCCATGAAGACTGCCCCTGCGGCGTCAAAACCAGCAGGGGTGGTGGAGAAGAAGATTAGAGGATTCAAAAGCCATTGAAAAGAAAGGATCGGGCTTGTTAAACCGAGAGGGCTCTGATACCATGTTAATGTTTGATTAATCCACCACACCTAAATGGTGTGAAAGTTATCTTATTTATAATCAAATGAATTACAAGGATATGGAAATAGTAATAAATGGAAATAACAATAAATGGAAAGATACCTATGATAATAAAGCAAATATTAGATATTTGCCTTATAATAAAATATCAAATATAATATATATGGTAAACTATAATTTATTACTATATATCCTTAACACCTTCTCATTCGAGGCAGGACACTATGAGGGCCAGGACACTATGAGGGTCACTATGAGGCATCGACCCTCCTCCCCATTCCTTGTCCTGTTCAAGTCAATCACTATGAGGCATCGATCCCACAAGGGTAAAATACACATCTCTATCAACGTTTCTCAAATATTGTTAACATATTACATTCAACCAATATGCCATAATACATACAACAAGTTGTAGCATTAACAAGAACAAGTGAAATTAAAAATTTGGTCAAGAATCAAGAAAGTAGAAGTTAGAATCTCACTTTTTAATGGCTAAATTTACAATTACATTACGTAAGGGATGCATCTAATATTAATTTATGAAAATAAAATCTTTTTAAAGAAATAAATCAATTTAGCCTCCCTAAGTTGTGTTCTTCTTCCTGCTGCTTACAAAAGAAACTTCATTAATAACACATTATCATCCCACAAGAGTTTACACCAAAACATTTTAAACTTGAAAATGTAATCTAAAAGAAAGCTAACATTCAATTGAAGCAGGGAGTGAGCCTCTAAATCAATCATATATCCCATCTCCTTTTGACTCTGAACATTAGTGCAGAAGACTTAATGTCATCTTGAGGAACTTGTAACATGAATTGTACTTTCATCTTCATTGGAGCTGTTTTCGCTTTCCCGCCTTCATCTCCGACCTGAAAACCATGGTTTTATGATAGCCTCGAGCTATTAACTCAAATAACCTAATCTTCATAACATTTTTTTCACAACTATTGTGCTGTCATTCGACTGTTCTATCCTCTCTACTAGATTTGTTTGACAACATTTCCATTAGTATTCTTTCAAACATGCCTTGACAGCTGAAACAACTTACCCACAGAGACGCCCAGCCGAGTCGTTCCTTTGTATCATAACCAGCTTTAAGTTTCAAATCTTTTCCATATGTGTGCTTGTACACTGCGCTCCAGTCGTTTGAATCGAATTCATACCAATAGCTGATGAATTTGAAGGCAAAATTATAGATTTAGGAACAAGGGCTGTGAGCTAAATCAAATGAACTACAATCAACTATATAGGAATTAGCGATCTAACGCTCTTATAGAGTTTGTAACCTAACCTCAACTTATCAGAAGGACCAAACCGACGCTTGAATGCAAATGATAATGCATTTGAAGGCAGAGAGATTTTTGGAATAAATGAAAGTGCCTCATCCTGCAACAAGTTCAAAGGCTCACCAAACATTGTGGACAGTAAAAGATGACGAGTTTCAAGCAATTCAGAACAAACCAAGGTTCAGAGTTGCAACATTTTTCGTTAATAATTGCATAGTGAGTTCAAGATACAAGGCAGCAGAAATTATATTCCAACCTTGTAGGAGTATCTCAGTTCCAATTCCTCATCCTTGTAGTGAGCAGCGCAGGTACCATTCAGAATTTGGCCTTTAAGAACACCATTTATGGACATTGGCTGCTTCAATTCTTCCTCTTCTCGTTCTTCCAATGAAACTTCACCCATGGGGAACTTAAGCGTTGCTCTTGGCTAAAGTATATCATCAATTATAGTCAATTTTAACAGCTCAATAAAAGTACTAAGTAGTTCGCATTCCCAGTGGGAAAATACCAAAAACATTCAGCATATAAACAATGCAATTGGTAGTGGCACTAAGGATTGAGATTCCCAATTCACTAAAACTCACCCGTCCAATAGCAGGAATGGGTGAAGACAGTTCCAAGGAGTAACCAGGATCAGCAATTTTAGCAACCACACCGAGCTCTCCTTGATGAGCCTAAAAACAATATAGTTAAGCTTGCAGTTCAGATTTGGTCCTACTATTAGCATAGATTGAGACACGGCATCGGCAGATAACACAAAAAGAAAGCAAAGCAAAGAAAATTAACCTTAATATCATGAGAAGCGCGGAACTGCAACCTAGGGCCAACATCGACAGAAGAGCGAAGGAGAGCGTTGCGTTCCTCAGGATCGTATTGGATGGAGAGATACTTAGAACTGAGCTGCAACTGAGAATTGGAGATTTGACCGTCGCTGTTGTTCTGGAAAGAGAGCTTGATCTTGGCGAGATTGTCGAGGAGCTTGCATGAGAGCTTGTGGAAGAAAATGGAGGATTCGCTGTCGAATTCGGAAGTGAGGCGAAGGGCGGGCCTCTTAGGGAAAACGAAAAAGGGGCGAGGTGGAGGAGGAGGAGGAGGAGGATCGAAGGATGGGGAAGGGGGGAGGGGGAGGGGATACGCCTGAGGAGGAGGCGGAGGAGCAGAGGATTCAAAATCCGCCATTGAAGGAGAAGGATTAGCAGCAGAGAGATGAAGAATGGGATTTAGGCGGAAATGTTGATGGGGAAATGTGAATGCATCAGAATCACCCCCTTTTCTTTTCTTCCCCATTTTCAAATTCAATTTTTTTTTTCTTTTTAATTATACAAAATTCCAACCACTTTGACTCAGTTAATCTTTTTATTTTTATTTTTTTTTAATTTTAAAACATTATATTTATTTTTAACAAAATTTCTTAATTAATTTCTCTCTAAACTTTGTATTTTTATTTTAAAAGTATTACTGAGGTGCCTTACCATGTTTTAAACCAAATCTAACTCACATACCCCTCGAATCCGCCCATCATCGAATTCTTCGAACCTTCTTCAACTCCAAGATGTGATGAGTCGACATGGAGCTGTCAAACGACTTCGTCGATAAGAGTTTGCAACCAATCAACCTATTATCTCCAATGTGCCTTTGATCCATTGAACGAGAGCCCTTTCACACCGAGCTCTCAAATCACTATGGTTGACTTTCATCTCTGTTCAACTAGTCAATCGTAATCAGGTAGACCCTTTTCTACTCACTCATAGGGTTCAGACCCGTCTTTAAGTAAAAAAAAGAATACCTTTAAACTAAAAAAATAATAATAATAATACTTCGTTTCAAAAATATCTTTAAATGCATTATTTCTAACTAGTTATTGAATCATATGAACATCCTTACTAAATACATTATTTCTAATTAATTAAAAAAAAATAGTGATATTATATATGTCTTTTGGGAAGGTGAGGACGGAAAGACTTATTTCATTCTGTCTACATTTAATTTTAAGAGAATTAGGACACACTAGAGTTTTTCCATTTTAGTCATGCACATCTTCTCTAGCTTCTTCTGATTCAGTAGCAGTTTAGAGCCGAAGGAGCTAAGCAGCTCCACAAGGCGTTTCCTTACTGTTCAGGGAGGGAAAGTCCAAACAAAGCCCCTAACCTAGGTTGAGACCTTTCGAGATTCTAGCCTCAACCAACCAATGCCCTGCAATCTTTCTAAACCGAACCCCTATCAAAACCCCAATCAACAACCGGGGGCAAAATAGTTAGTTCAACAGTCTGTCTCTATCAAAGAATTAAGCGCTGGAGACTCGGCTAGCAGAAGATCATAGATCATGGTCCTTTTCTTTTAGTGCTTCGACCCGAAGCAATAGCTTCTAGGAGTCTTGAAACTGCCGCCTAATCTCCCAACATGCTCAAAAATCCTTTCAATTGGCTAGAATCCGTTACTTGAACGAAACTAGATTACTAATATTTTTTCAAACTTTGTCAAAAATATATTCTTTTATTTTAAGAATATATTTTATATTAATTAATTAATTAATTAAAACTATTTAAACTATAATTACATGAATTAAAAAGAATAAAAGTAAATATGAATTAGGTATATTATGATGACGTCATAATTATTGGAAGATAATTTTACTATATTTTTGTTTAATAATTGTTTAATAACTTTTTGTGTAATTAATTATGGAACAATTAATAGTTTACAAATTAATTAATTAACAACAAATCAAAATTAAATTAATAAGATTCTTTTGGAAATTTTTTAGAGTGATTTTAAAATTTATGATAAATTAATTCATTCTCATTCTAATTTCTCAAATATTACTAGTTCTAAAATGAAAAAAAAAATGAATATAAAAATATTTCATCATCAAATTATAATTATTTTATTTTAAAAATTACTTATTGTATTAAAATTTATTTACAGCCAAGCATAAGTTTTTTTGAAACTAATAATTTTGAAAAAAGAATATATATATTAAAAAAAGTAGATAGCAAAAGTAATAATAATAATAATAAAAATAATTATAAAGAAATCTAAATAATTATGAGTTCTAAAATTTTATTCAAAATTTAATTTATCAATTCAATTCAATGTTAGAATCTCGACCCTAAATTTTAAAAGTAAGGTAATTTTAACCATTTTAACTATATATATATATATATTTTAATTCGTAGACAATTAATCAACGTTGAATTGATAGGTTGATAAAGCTTTTATTAAAATTAGTGAAGGAAATTTTTAGGGTAATTAAAACATAAATTAAAAATTTAGGGTGAAATTTGATATAATTAGACAAAGATTGAATATTAAAAAGATATTTATTAAAAAATAAAATAAAAACATCTAACCTTTCTATATAATTAATATACACACTCAAACAAAAAAAAAAAAAAAATAATAATTTAAAAAATTATAGAGACGGTAGAAAATAAATTTATAATTTACCTATAAATTTATTTACTTTTTTTTTAACTTTTTTTTTTCTTTTTTGAAAATTTCAAATTTAACTAAGAAACATATGGAGGGTAAGACCTAAAATAAGCGACCAAATTTGAATATTTTAATTATTTCACTTATACTTTCCAAAAAAAAAAAAAAAAAAAAACAGTAAATTTAGATTTATAAAAAAAATACTTTAAAAAAATTATTAATCTAATATTTAGAACTTAAATAACTAATTTCCTAAATTAGTTTTATTTTTTTATAAATATTATATCTCAAAAATATCTTTAAAATTTTAAAAGTTGACTATGTAATAAAAATGTTTAAAATGTTTTTGTCCTTAGTATCCATAAATTTGAAGAAAGTTTTTTTTTTTTAAAGCATTTAAGGATATTAATGATACTTTCCTTTTATGAGTACTTTGTTTTTATTAATTTAGCTATCGAAAAAATAATAGTCATCACTGTACATTGCTTCTACCAAGGGATTGGCTACCAAGACTCACCCCTTTGACTGCTAGGTAGCGTTGTCGATCTAGCTGACACTACAATGAGTCCATAGGTCATACAAGGAGAAAGTTGTGAACGCCTGCAGTGGTTAACCAACATCCTTACTTTTTTTTTTTTATTATTATTATTATTTATGTAAAAGACTCCGTTGTAATATTGAAATTTAATTTTTTTAGAACTTATCTACCTGAGTTTCACAGGAACCATATCAATAGATTTCAGATTTCTAAAGCTCATTTTGCATGCAACATCTTTATTCGTTTGACGCTCATATGTTTAAGTTTATTGTGTCATAGACTTGAATTTGAAGTACTATCAATAACAACAGTCATGTTTACATACCCTGCAATGGTGTATAAGGTTCTAGATTTTATCTACGTGCTACCACCATAGCACCATTCACAATCTTCCACGAACTCTTCCCAACCTCTGTTGCATAACTGGTGTTATCCAACTGATCAATAGAGATTAGGTTCTTCTTGAGACCAAGAATATATCTTACCTATGTCCACTAATTTCCTACTTGAGTTTTTATGAAAACATACCCCTTTCCTTTAATCTCCAAACCTTTATTTCCGGCAAGATACGTCTTCTCAAAATTTCTAGACGTGAAATTCCGAAACAGTTCCTTATTTGGAGACGAATGAAAAGATGCATCTGAATCCAAAATTCAGGATTCAATCGAACTGTCCACCGTTGAGGATTAGTGCATCCCCAATGTTTTCTGATAAATTTATAGAATTATTATCATCCTTCGATTTGTGATTCTGCTTCCTGTTTAGTTTTGTACAATCTGGCCGAAAATGACCCTTTTCTCTACAACTCTAATTACGTTACAATTGGTTTGTTTGAAATATTTTTACTGTTCTTTGATTTCGTTCGACCTTTGTTTCGACCCTTCGATTTACTTCTTTTCCTTTAGTCAACACTTAGAGCACTACTAGATGAATCCTAAATTTTTCGTTCGCAAATACTTTCGCTGAGAACACACCTAGGTTTTTATCGAACTTCAGTTTCTCAGATCCTCGAGAACTGCTGATCATAAACCAACAGTATCTCACGACTCGGGTAAAGATGACATCAAAATCAATGCTTTAATTTCATCTTTGAAATCAATTTCCATTGAACTTAATTGACTTACAATCATATTGAATTTATTTACATGATCAGCAACAAATCCACCTTGAGACATTTGTTAGATTGAACCATCTCTCTACATCAAATACACCTTGTTCATAGCCGTTTTTTTGTATATTCGATAGCGCCTTCAAGAGATCATAGTACTCAACAAATCTGACGTTGTCTTCTCCTTGATGATGTTGAATCCCACGTTTCTGGACAGCGTCAACTAGATCAATCCTAGAGCCTGACGATCCTTAAGCTTCTACTCGTCCGTGATCATGGTATCCATGTAACGACCCTAATTTTTCTACTTAATTTAATGTTGCTATTGTATACATATCATGAACATTGAATGCGATAATACTTCATTTAAACTTCATAAAACATAAATTTCATCTTAAAACACTATCATGGACTTACGTGTTTGAAAATATCTTTAAAACGATACAATGAAGAACTAAATAAAAATGAATAAACATTTAAATTAAAAATATTCTATTCTAGGTTAAGTCTAGGAAAATAAATGCATCTACCCTATGCATGTGTCATGGCCTCAAATTGTGTCGTTGTTAGTCATATAGAGATGTATGTTTTTTACTTGAAATAGAAGTAGCACGTGACTTTAGTATTTTAAGAAACACTCAGTAAGTGACTTCACTATTGAAGTTAGAGCAAACATACACAAACATGAATGTGACCTATCATATCAGTCTATATTCTTTAGGCGTCTATCCTAAACAGGTTACTTGGATGTGTCTTTATTGTTCTGCACACGATCTACACATGCAAATATTGACCCACCAGTCGGTTCACACACCTTCTCGGCACCTTTCTTTTTACATATATATATAAAATTCAATTTACGGTACATTTTGAAAGTACATACTTTTATTTATATATATATAATTCAAAATAATTTTTACTATAAATAGTCGTTTACTATTATATATGACCGTTTTCCATATATAACCGTGAGTATTTTTATTAATTTATCAAACAAAAATTATAAAGCATAAATTTTCTTATGTAACACATGAATTCTTACCCAAAATAATAATAATAATATATATCATCAGCCCTTTTGTTTTTTGTTTTTTGTTTTTTGTTTTTTTTTTAACAAATCGATGAAATTACTGATTAAACTAATTATCAATTGTGACTATTCTTTCTCTACATCT